CTACGGCATATAATATCTACTAAGGATTACCTAGCTATAGTAAGGTTTCTATAATAATTTCCTTTATACTTAGGGGGGGGGTTATAGGTGGCTTACCTCTAACTTACTACTATACCTAGCTAATTTACCTAAGGAGGGACTATATCTCTCCTTAAGACATTTCTAATATAAGGAGGAGAAGCTCTTTTTCTAGTTTTTTAATATGTCTAGGTTATAGCTAGCTTATAGCTATGTCGCCCTTAGTAGGTGGTCACGTGGTCTTATGACCTCTTTTAACCGCGTTTTTAGCGTTTTCTAGCGTATCCGCTACGCTAGCGTGCTAGGACCGTTCTAGTCTTATCCCGCTACTAGGACTTAAGTTATTTACCTAAAAAATAAGTTTTTTATAGTTTTATCCCACGGTTAGGCGTAGCGTAGGTGCGGCCTAGACTCTCGTAGCGAAGATGTTAGGTTTATTATAATATATCTTTATTTAAAAGATATATTTAAGTATATCTTTAATAATATTTCTACTATTATATTTACTTTTACTATTATAGCTCTAGACTATTATTATTTAAGGGTAGATTTAGGTATAATTTAATATTAGATAGGTTATTCTTTAATTTTATTACTAGTTTAGGTATAATATAAGTATATACTATTTTCTAGTTATAAAGATAAGTTATAACTTTATAAATATTACTTAAGAAGTTAATTTAGAACTTCTATTTAATTATTTAATTATAAATAAAATACTATAAATAGACTTTATTTAATTTTTATAGTTTTTATAAGGTATTTTTAGAAATTCAATATAAATTATTATTCTTAATATTATTATACTCTAATAAACTAAGTAACTTATTTAGTACCTTTATAAAAATAAACTAAAGAAAAAGAAAAGTATATANATATATATATATATATATATATATATATATATATATATATATATATATATATATATATATATATATATATATATATATATATATATATATATATATATATATATATATAT